ATTCAGAATTAACTCAATCATTTATTTATCAAGAAGTTCATTAATTATTATTGGATTTTGAAGAAAAAAAATAACAAATATTTCTTTATATAAACAAAATTAAAGCATATGTTCATGTTCACATAAAATATACAAATGTACGTATGTACCTAAACACATACAGAATTAAATTAAAAAAATTTCATCGCAAAAAGACTCTGAATTTTTACTTTGGAAAAAAAAAATTGTTATTAATAATTATTATTGGTTATTTTATTTCGCATACATTAAAATTTATTTACAATTAGAAAATTAATTTTGTTTTCATTATTGCCGAATTTTTGAACAGTTTCCATTAAAATTTCATATTAATTAAAAAAAAAATTTTCAAATTTAAATATTGCGGTCTTCTAAAATTTTATTTGTTTTCTCCTCGCTTTTTTCCTATATGCTATTTACTCAAAAAATTTTTTGAATTTATTAACGTTTTAAAGTCTGATTAGAATTAATTATTATAAGAATTAGATTTTATAATGGAAAAGTATTCAATTATTAGAATTTTATTCTTATTATATTAGATCTAAGAGGAATATAATTTTGAATTTTTTGTAGTGCTTACAAATAGTGCACTTATGAAGTGTTGGAATTTCAACATTTTAAGATTTTGTTTTAAAAGAAATTGTGTTTGTTTCAATGATGCGTTAAATATTCAACCAAAATAATTAACAGAAAATTTAATTAAAAAAATAAAAAATTTACAATGAGTATTTTAACAAAATATAAGTCCAATGTAGTTCGCTATGAACTGCAGTTTGCATGAATAATGTTAATTATTAGTATTGGCAAACTTTATAGAAACTATATAAGGGTAATTCTTAAACATTTTCATTTAAATATATTTATATTAGCCTTACATATAGCTAATGAATGCCAATTTATTCCCAAATTTCTGAAGCATTTAAGATTACTAAGTGTAAGTTGAAAAATAACAAATTTACAGATGAATTAAAGAACTACATACGTATCATAATTACAACGTTAAGAATTCTTTTAATTCCTTCCTAAAAGTATGCAATATGAATTTTTATTATGATATGATGACTTGTGAGAATGAGGGAAATTTAGTATCGTTTGTTTTTTCTCAAAATTACATTTAAAAATTTACCATTTTGTTAAATCCGAAATAATGTTAGAATTGTGGCCCTTAAGAATCTTTGAAACTCGAATTTTAAATATTACTGTGTTTAACATTTTTTTCTTTATTGCTGAATAAAAATTTTATTTACTGTATTTCGATATAAGCCCACAATTTAAGTAGAGAGGGGTTCGTAATTTTATAGACGTTTTGCTACAACTACCTATAGCTTATTTTATAGGTAAATAAATTTTCTTAACTTTTCATCAATAAATTACTCAACATTTTTAAATATCTTACTTTAAATTACTTACAAAAAAATAAGTGGAACAAGTGACGATTGCATTTTATTTATCTTATTCCCTTTTAAAATTTTAATTTATCCAAATTATAATACTTAGGTAATAAAATTAATTTTCATATTATCATCACCATCATATCTAATCTATGAAGGTATTTTGAACTATATAACTTTGAAACATCGTTAATGTCAAATATAAGTAATATTTATATGTAATATACAAATTTTAATACACCCTCTAATTACATAAATATTTATACATATTCATACATAGCATACATACTTATAAAGTAAATTTGAATTTTATTATAGAAATAAAAAAATAAATAAATAAAGTAAAAAAAAAAATTTTTTTTGTAATTTAGCTAGTATTTAAATGTCGTCATTTTACTTTGCAAATTTGAAGAAGGTATAGAAAGAAAACAAAAAAATAATAACAAAAAAAATAATGAAAACCTAAAACGGGTCAGACTTAATAGAAGTCATGAATGGTCGCGTGACTCTCCTTTTTTTTTTTAAATTATTGTAACAATTTTTTTTTCGCTTTTCTTTTGTTAAAATTTCTTTTTATATTTATTTTTCTTTTATATAAGAAATAGGATTTTCATTTTTATTATAATTTATAAATTTATTATTCCTTACAAAGCTTTTAATAACTTTTCATGAAAAATGTGTTTTTCTTTTTTTTGTTTTGTTTTGTTATTTTTCCTGTTATACCTTTAAAATTTATACTTAATTTTCGAATATTTGTCGAATACCCATTTCAAAATAATAAAATATACTTGAAAATTTGTTAAAATCATTTAAGGTAAGAAGAAATTTTAGATTTCCTATGGTTTGATAAAAAAAATTCTTAAGCACAAGGGGTATAAGTAGCTATATATATATACAATATACATACATAAATAGCTTGATGTATATCAACATTCTGCACGTCACATAATTTAGAATTTTAAGATCGTAAAATTATTAAGCATTTTATAAGGTTTACATTCTATATAAATAACTTATAACCACCTTAAATTTATACATATGAATATATATAATGTATATACAGTAGGCTCTAAATAATTGCACTCTGCTGAATTCAGTTTTAATTGGCCCAACTTCATTTTATATAGTTAAAATTTCTCGCTCAATCGATTAACCAAATCTATTTAAATTCACCTTTATGAAAAAATGCTAAATATATTCTTAATTTTTTTTTGTTCTTTGGCATGATTTTTATATTTAAAGTAAAATTTGTACTATTTTAAAATAGCTACTGACACAAAATTATATCGAATAATTTTTTTGATCTGCCAATGTCATTTCGAGTTTTAAAGAAATAATTTTTTTTTTTTTTATTAAGTGTGTGAATTAAAGTTCAATTGCTTTCACATTTTATTAATTGGTATAAGCTTTATTCCGGTTTAATGGATCGATGATATAATTAAAATTAATTCTTTTAATTGAATTTCCATGTTAATTACGTTAAATATTGTGTATATTGAGCCGACGCAATCATTTATGAGGATTACTGTATTATTAAAAATAAGTCAGGTACATTTACTGGTGTGCAATACTTGTGCATAAGAAAGCATTATGAGGCTTTCTGTATAATTATAATTCGGTCTTAATTTCATTTTAACTCTTGCTAGTATTATTTGAATGCAATATACATAGAAGCTAAAATAAAACTCCTGTATAAGTATATTAAATTAATAAAGTGTGTAATACATTATTAAATTTAAAATATATTTATATATTTTGAGGGGATATTACCATGTATACATAAATATATACATACATATATACTCGTAAGAAGCATTTCAACATGGTATATAGTTTTATTCGCAGATTGTGGTAAGAGATTGCTCATTTCTAGCTCTTAACGGAAACTGACTTGGCGTTATACTTAATGTTTCTTGTGTGTTGAAATAAAAAATACAAGAAATGGAGAACAAAAAACAAAAAAAAATGAAGGAAAAAGTTAAAAAAATACGAAATAATAATAAGAAAGAAGCATAAGAAAATGCTATTTATAAAAACGATGACATAAAGTGTGGAAAATGAAATTTTCCTAACAAAAATATTATAAAAAAAATTTAAAAAATAAATTGATAAACATTAAAGAAAAAAACACTAGACATAAAGAAATAGCAGGATGAGCTAAGTCCAGCTTTTTTTTATTGAATACTAAAATTTGATTGTATCAATGGCTATAAAATTACATTGACGCACAAAATAAAAAATTGCATTATGAGATTTTTAAGTTGAAAGTGGAGAAATTACAATGTTTACAATATTTGAAAACTGACATATTTTGAGATGAGACTGACCTTATTATTAGAAAATATTCATTTTTAAATATTAGGTTTCAAGAATAGACTGCAGATAAAACGGGATGCAACAATTTCAAAATTTCGTTCTATTTTCTATTCTATATTTAATAAAACTTTGTATATGAAAACTGTGGTTAGATAAATTTTTTTTCTATAAAAATTCACAAATTTGTTGTAAGATCTAAAGGTTAGATTAGGACAAATTCGAGAATTTATAGGACAAGTACTTTGTTGTTACTCTTAATTTACTTAAATATTGCGAAAAGAGTGCGACTCTTTGTCTGAAAAAAGACGAAACGATAGAGCTCTTATTGTGTGAAGATTGGATTGGGCTGGCTACAATATTCCAATTTATCACGGATTTAGATATAATGGTATATATAATATAGATGGGCATGGGAATTAAAAAATCGCACGCGTCGTCATGAGAAAGATTAGGATCAAATTTCATGATGTTCGAATTTTTAAATTCAATTGATCATCTCTTATTTTTAATTTGTGAATTAATATTTTTTATTTTAAATCATAATCGCCAACCATATAGAATCGATATTGAGTTTTGTTCCGATATAATTTAAAAAATTAATATTACAAAAAATATTTTAATATGTTTTTTAATTTCTCATAGAAAATCTAAACTTTTTTATTTTTTTTATTTACTTTATTCTTTTCTTCAAATTTTGCTACTAGAAATTCTTTAACTACATTCGTAATTTTTCCTTGTTTATATTATCTATTTATTTCGTACTATATAATGATGTACTCGTATATATATCAATATATTAATATAATAAATAAGTTATTATAATAAATATAACAGTTTGTATATTAAATTATATACAATTATTACAATAAAATTTGATATTTAAAATATATAACATATTTAAGGAAATTTATCCCAGCTGTTCGTGGGCATATAGACGTCTTTATATGTAACGTAACGTATATACATACACAAGCATACAAATAAATAAATATGCATTTACGTTTTGAATATTAAATAAATGTTTTTTTTTGATAAATTTTTAATTTTGATTTATTAAAATTACTTTATATTGAATGAATTAAATTGCAAAGAATGTATACAACTTTTAAAATAATATTTTCACATATTTTTTATTACATATACATACATACATATATGTGTGTATGTATACAAATTTTTATTATAAATTTTTTTTCTTTTCATACTTACAATTTGTTTTTTATTTTAAATAATCAAAAATATTAATGCACACATTTTTATATTTTATTATAACAGTGTCATTAACAGATATGAGCTAATTTCTTCTTCTCTGCAAATTACAATTAAAGTTATACAATTAAGTATATATATATATACATATGTATATATACTTAAACAAACAACATTATAATAATATGTAAGTATATACATAATATCTATATACATATTTTGGAAAAATTAGCAAATTATATAATAATATGTAAAATGTTAAATGATAATAAATATATATACATATATAATAAAAATATAAGAAAAAAAAAACAACAAAAGAAAAAGAATACTTATTCAATATTGTGCAGTCATCTGAAATTATTTCCAACTTTATATTTCATTTATTTTAATTATATTGTATGTTAAATATTTTAAGAAACAATAAAAAAAAATTAAATAAAAAAATTTTTATTTATTATTTATTACATACACATACTTACATAAAGTTTTTCAATTGTATAAGTATAAATTTTTATAGAAAAAAAATTAAAGTACGTTTACATTTAGGATTCAAAAAATAATGTGATATTCGAAATAAATAATAGTTTTCAATTAATTCACTTTTTTTTTGTAATTTGAGTGAAAAATTTAAAAAATAAATTAATAACGGAACGTTATTAATTTCAGAACTGTTATAATTCTCCAAATTTAAAAACACTCTTTTAATTTTTTTTGTTTTGCTAGATTTTGAGTACAAACTCACGTTCATTTTTACATATTTTTTCATATAGAACGATTTTGTTACTTTAAGAGGAGCAAAGCTCTTCCATTTCGTTTTAGGCTTTATAGTGAATTTTCACATTTAAAATTAATTCATCACATTCGACTATATTAGTGTGTCACTTTTATACTATTGCAATATTTTGAATACGTTATAATAAGCCAAATACATATGTATATCTTCGATATTTAATTTTTAATTAGCAATATATTTTTGCTAAAAATTTTCATAATAGAAAATTTCTTATTTGATATACATTTTGCAGCAAAAAAAAACATTAATTAATTAGTTCTGAATGTAAACGTATAATGATTTTACAATTTTTCTTATTTTTATGATATATTCACATATATATATATATATATATATATACACATATATAATATATTTAACATCATTATTATTTCTCTTTCCTCTTTTTAATATATTTCTGTTATATTATTATAAAATATATATATACGTATATATATATATATGTATACACTCTTAAAAAAAAAAACAAAATATGAGTATATTTTATTATTTAAGTTTTACTTTTTTTTCATTCTATCATATTTTTGAAATGAAAATCCGCAAAAAAAAACAAAGGTAAATTAAAACTGAAAACAAAAAAAAAAGTAAAATTGTACCCACAATAATATAATGTATATAATATATGTATATATATATATACATATATTTATTCGCACATTGTTAATTCTCACTTTTGTTGTATATTGTAATACCTGAGCTTTCGTTTTTATTTCATACACTTTTTCCACCTTCATTTTTTATTTTTCCTGTATATATTATACTTATTGTTGTTTTGTTCTCTCCTCAATTTTTTTTTTTAGTTACATACAATAAGCTAATATAATTAACTACTTATATACTATACAATAATAATGTACACGGGTAGTAAAAAGTGTACACTATGCATATATATATATATATATGTATATACCTAGTTATTTTAAAATTATACCAGTATAAATTGTATTATACGATTATATACTTATATCTTCTATGTAAATGTATACTTATATTATAGATCCATATTATATACTTACGTATACATGGTACATACATGGTAAATTTTTAAAATACTTAAGTATTTTTTATTGTCATTATAAAAAGTTTATCCTGTTTACGGGGTTATTCTTTATTTTTTTTTTTTGCGTAAAAAGTATGTGACAAAAAATTTTTTATTTATATTATTATAATATGAAATTATATCTACATATATGTATATATATTGCATATACATAGTATAATATGTTGAATGAAATCTGAAAGAAAATCCCGGAAGTATATAATATATTAAAATTTATAAATAAGTATAATAAAATTTTTTATTTTAATTGATAATTATAAAAAGTAAAAATTGAAAAAAAAGAATAGTTAATGATTTTTATTATTGTCTTTTCAATAAAAATTTAATGTATAAATATAAATGACATTGTAATCATTTATATACTCATATAAAATACTGTATGTTAATTGAAAGTGCTTTGAAAGACTTTCTTTAGAAATTGAATATTATAAGTTCTCATAATCTCTTATGAGTGGAAACTAAATTAACATAAACATTAAAATTTCGCATATCCATGTAAGATATATGTACGATTTTTTATATCCTTCTGAATATAATTACATTTTTTTAGTAAATTCTTGGTTTTTTATTAAATTTATGGAAAATGTCATGTGTAATTTAAAATTATTATCTATTCTTTCCGAGATAATCCGGTTAAAAATCGCAAACCAAAATAAGAACTCTTCAAATTCGATAAAGTTTCACCTGAAATAATAGTTTTCTGAAAAACCATCATAATTTAAATTATGTTAGTGCCATTTTTAGCAAAGAAAGAGTCTTAGAAAAATTACGAGTATTTTACTATAATCTGTTGATTTACTTTTAACTTTTTTTCTGCAAAGATCACATTTTGCAAATCAGATGAAATTTTTATTTTACGAAAAATAAGAGAAAATATTTTAAAATTTTATATTTATTCTTTCTATGAAATAATCTAAGAATTTTTCATCTTATTTTCTTCTTTCTATAAAATTTCCTTATATACTATAATACTTATTACATATTAATTAGTTCTATACTACGTATACTTATATTATATACATAGTACAGTTATTGTTATATACATATACAAAGTACTGTATTTCAATAATTGATATTAGCTATGAAGAGCAAATTTTAAAGGAGAAAATATTTAAAAATAAATTTATTTTATTTAATTTTATTTTATTTATAAGAAAAAAAATAATATTAAACGCTTACAAGAAATTCAAGTCAAATATGATTATATATACAATACATACATTCTCACACATATAAATATGATATATTTTCTTAATTACTTTTAATTACGTAATAATTGTGGAAATAAATTATTTTTAAAAAGAATAAAAATTTCAAAATAACAACAACAATAATAATATTAATAAAAATGTGTAATAAATAATAAATTTAAATTTTAGAAATTAATTTTTGAAATCATAGATATACTTACAAAAAATTTATTTGTTTGTAAGTATATATTTTTATGTCTTCCTATTATTTTATTGTTTCATAGAATGACATAATTTGTATAGAATTATAAAGAAAATTTTGCAGTATTATTAAGGAAATTATTAATTTTAAAAATATATTTTTAACAAATATAAATTTTATTAATATTTTGTATAATAATCTGGTTTATTAAATTTAATGAACTTCGACTTGTTTAAAGTTTCAAATTAATTTCAAATTGTTATTAGCTTGTTTTAAAAAAAAGCCATACTCGTATTTATAAAATTTATTTTAAATATTCTTGATTATTGAAATTTAATAACTGATTTTTATTATAAAATTTTGAAAATTTGTTTCATTTTAAATTTAAGAATACCTAAATTTTTTTAAAATAAAACAAAATGTGTTCAAAATTTTTATTCTATCGTGTTGTTTATGTTAAAACTGAAATATTTTTTTTCCAAAACGAAGATTGTTGAATTTTCAATATATAAGAAATATAATTAAAACAATATAATTAAAAATACAAATAAGCCTATACAATATTATACGGGAAAGAGATGGAAATAATTTCATACTTAATATTAAAAAAAAAATATTTAATTTCTTAAAATATTTTTAAAACAGCTAGCAATTTTTAATTGAAATTCTATTGTATTACCAAAAAAGTTATAAGTGTAACACTTATTAAAAATAAGAAAATTTTACCACATTTTGAATTTTTGAAAATGCATTTTTAATTTTACAATAATTTTTTTTTTAATTTTTATTGTATTGTCCTTTCTGTTTAAAAAAATTATCATTTCATTAAATTTTTTTTTATCTTACTTAATTAAAAATTATTAAAAATTCTGAAATATTTGGTACTACATAATATTGGTGGAAGATTTTTTTAATACTCATTTTTTTTTGTTAATTTTAATGTGTGTTATTTATTTACTTTATTTAATTATATAATATACATTCATGTATACATTTATATTTAGTGAATATAATAATTTTTTTTTTTATATTAATTGTTTATATATATATTAAATAAAATATTTATTTTCATATTCACCGAGTTTGCTTTGTAACGTACATAATTATATTCAATTTCCATTATATAATATATATACTTACTTACTTTTATGTATTTTTGAAAAAATTTAAGTCAAATTGTATTTACATTAAAAATATAACAACTATTGTAAAAGAAAAAAAAGTAAAAATAAGATAAGGGCACCATTCTGTTTATCACTTTTTTAATTCATCGGATGAGTGACAAATTAGTAATATTACTCGTATTCTGAACTCTAATGAAATATAGCCGTATATGTATTATTGTATATAAAGAACTGCATTAAGCCAACTATACAATTTAATTCTTAAAAATGAGAATTTTTTTTTAGTAATTTCTCATCTCAGTTTATTTTATTTTCTCATCATATTATGTTTATTTTCTCATCTCAGTTTTAAATATATGATTGGGAAGTAATGTCAGAAATATATGACTGAGTATTTACTCAAAATTTAAATAAAATGAGAAAAATATAAAATTTCCAATGAGAATTAAAATTTAAAAACATAATGTTGCCCAAAGAAAATTTTTTTTTTTTAGTTTTTAACTTGTAGTTAATTAGATTTATTAATAATGTATTAAAACTTATAATTTTTATAACATAGCTATATATAGAAAACAAACCAAACAAAATATTGTTTCAAATGGATTATTGAAAAAAAAATCATAATGTGCTTCTATATACATATATATATATTTCATTCACAATTTTTTATATTATGCTATATTTATACAACAAAATTAATATATGAAGAAGAAGTATGTAATATTTTTATGACAAGCTATATATGTTAATGTACAAAAGATGCATGGACTTTTAGTTATTGCTATATGTATTATGTATTATATAGTATTTACTTG